CAGGGGTCAAAATAAGGTAACTGCAGGTATGCTGTCAGAAATTAAAACTGACGTCATCTGCTCTAATTTGCCCGGCTTTAAAACCTCATGGACCCGCAGGTTCGTGAAGGTTGTAACACTCATACAATCCGAATCTCATGAAACGCCGGAAATATTTTCGTTCGGATCTTGACAGCTTAAGCCGGACTTAAAACGGCAGAGATCGGTTTGGTTTTTTCTGGTTTCTACATAGTTGTCTAATGCGATGTTAAAAGCATGTGCAGAATCGAACCGCTCGAGTGCATATTTAAGTCATAGAAGATTGCACTCCCCTCTCTGGGGATTTTCGCTTGATAGACAACAATGCAAAATACGAACATACTTTTATGATTCAAATTCTTGCTGTGAAATGTGGATGCAATATGATTCGATACGTAAGGGTAAAAAGGAAGCGAGAGAAATATGCAGCAGCTAGATGTGGGATTCCAGGTGAATCAAGCCCAACGAATTACCGGCATTAAATTTGAAAAACGCGATTTATATCTTAGCGACATCGCTAAGATCGTAGAACGTCAATCTCTGCAAAATATTTTGATAAGGCTTAGAACAATGATAAATGGTGTAGCAGTATGCTACTGTGGTTGCTTAATCGCTTATGCTGCGTCTTGATTATAATCTCTCGCCACGTTGTTTTCACTAAGCGGTTTGAATGTTATCGAAATTCAGCCCTAAATTAGAATATTTGGGTCACCGCCCTCACAAGAAGGGTAGCGAAGCGACGATATTAGAGAAAAACTGGTCTCGGGAACGGACGAGGTAAAATATTTGACCGTTCATTTACATATACACCAGTACACAAAGACAATTTTCAAACATTTCTCTCCTAATGAAACTTTTGCGAAATTCATTTACATTCAATTGCCAAGATTGCAATAAAGTAAACAATATTGCTACTCCGTCATCCTCCGAGCCCACGACTTCTTCCCTCCGAGAAAGTACAAATTAACGTCAATGCTATCTGACTGAGTAAAATTTATGCAAAACCGAATATGCTGCGCTAAAGCCATTTTTTTCCAAATTACTTTATCCAGATAATGTTAATTTTGTTAGCCATGCAACCGCGAACAATTATTGTTGGATGCTTCATTAGCGACAGCCCTTCGATACACACACGCAGATACAAAACCTAACCCTATCAAATTTAACAATAGCCCCAATATTTCCCCCGTCCTAACGACCACTCGATAAAACCCAACGAATGCAGAAAAAACGATAATTATCATTTAATTAAAAACTATCTACCCCGGACCGGATTTTTAAATTATTAAACATAAAAGCGCTCTCCCAAAGCGACATAAACTCGATTTCAAACAAATTGGTTTAAATTCGGAATTTATACGAATTGGCTTGGTTTCAATTTGAACGTTTTCCGGTGCGATCTTGTGCCCACTGATATATCGCTACAAGATCGCTTTTTACAGCAAACGCTGCAATTATTTCAGAAAACACACTCGCCGTTTACGAGATTTACCGCAACTGCGACACCGGAGGGAAATCACACCATTACTATTATTATTATTATTGCACGAAACGCTTGCATCTCACAAGTATTATTGTTATTATTATTATTACTAATGTTAATTTTTGGGGCATCGATTTTTCGTGCCGATCTCTGCGCGGTTCGAAATCGCCTTAGGTTAACATTATTATTATTTCGCCTAGACAGAGCGCGTTTCTGCGTAAATCAGCAGAGTTTGCTTTTTCATGCCCCGAGACGCGGTTTTAATGGGAGATTTTATCTCGGAAGGTGTCACCAAGTACCCCTGAAACAGATAGCTACATAGCCGATGCATGAATGCATAATGCACGGCCGAGATTGAAATCTGCAAAGCGAAAATCGTGCCACATCCGCTATAAAAGGAGTTTTAATCCTCGGGCGTCCTTAAAGAGCGCATTGCCACGGTTATTTGGTGCAGTGTCAGGTATCTAATGGGGAAATTAGATAATTAATTCGGCCACCGAAAGCAATTAGCTGCAACAAGCGCTGCATCGCCAAGTCAGGTCGCGCTTGCAGTTCTTGCGGAACCAAAAAAGGGACGTGCGTCGGCGGCGGTTCGCCGGGAAAAGTTTGATAGATGATACTTTGAAATTGTTGAGAATTTGTAGGGGTGCTAGCGTTACTGTTGTTCTCTCTTATTACGCGTAATTATATTACTGGTAATTGGAAGGTCGGAGTGGCATTAAACTTTTATGAGTAGGGACCCTGCTCATAATCAAATATGATATATAAATGGGCAGAAAGTAAAAAGTTTCGGACTGTAATCAAAGCGATGAATAAGAATGGACAAAATACAAAGACCCGGCTAATGTGTCTTAATGCAAGGAAAGAGCCACAATAGCCCCCGGAAAAAATGAAACGCTAGCGTCGAATTTCGCACTATACACACATATACATTGTTCTTACGCGGACGTCCTGATGCAAGACTCGGACTTAATCATTTATTGTTTAGAGGCAGCTGGCATACCTTCACTTTATTACTTCTAATGAAAAGGAAATCGTACAGCAAGGACTTGAACTTTCCGAGAAATGTAATCGAACACCCGCTCAGGTAAAGTGAGTATGGTGATTATACATTTCGTCGAAAGTCTCCCGTTAAGGCCGACTCGCACGAAATGAACGCCGGAGACTCTCACATTCGCAATTTTCTAAAAATGTACCCGATGACCTAAGAAGGAACGTCATTCCTCGTTCCGTCACAATGGACTTGTTTCGATTTAGTGTTAATACTTTAATGTTGCTTAATATTAACGAAGATGCGGAAAAAGCGTCGGTAGCCGTTACCGTGAGAATGCGCCTTTAAGGGCAAAAGTTGGGTATTTTGTCAGCGACACCGTGTAGGAAGGTGGCCTGATTTGTCGGCATGTATTTTTAAGCATATTTGTTGCACGAGCCGCCGCTGTGGTTGGAGGTACGATCGGAAAGAATATGAAAATTTAATAGCCGGTTGAACTGTGGAAACGAAACGAAAGGTAAATAGGGACAAGTTTAAGCGGGAATAAATCAGAAGACGGGATTTAATAATAAGCATGTTGAAGCGCGGCATTCTTGTATTAGCCGGTTGTAGAGAGCACGTTCACCCAATCTTGAAACAATAAACAATCGAAACTACCGTCTTGATCAAACATAACATTACCTATTGTGTAAAATAATATCAACAAAGTAAACTGCAATTTTACAACGTTTATTTCATTCGATCCTTCTACGTAAACTGTCGAAATTGTGGGGAAATTAACGGTAGTGAGAAATTTCTACCTGGGTAGAGTAGTGTCATTTTTGAACAATGCGAGGTGATGAATAAACAAGCGGGTCGAAGAGCGGAGCAAGGTTAAACACGTTGAGCGTTTTTAATTATTCTCGAATCTGTGCAAAACGGTAAACAGACTTCGGGGAGAATTATTTTTGAGAGAAATTCATTAAGCGCGATAAAATGTTGATAACATATTAAATAGTAATTAGTTAAAGAGAAGTATTGTAATCAAAGGGGCGTAAAAGAGGATCCGCTAATTGGGCTGTAAAAATTTCTGCGGTCGTTCTAAAAAAAGGTAATAACATCAACACCTATGATTACCGTTTTTATTATTATATCTCAGTCGACACCTTATTACGCGGAATTTTGACGTTTATGTGTTGCAACAGTGATTTTACGATCGCACTTCCGCCTAATTACTTCGGAGGAAAAAATCGAGCGTTCGGAGGATTTCGCCTATAGTTTGAGGGTGGCGAGTAGTATATTAATTTGCGGCCTTTCAGTGGCACGGAAAGTTTAATGAGAACGGCTTGAAATTTTCGCCAGCAAATGGCCTTTAAAAATCGAGCCGGCCTTAGTGTGTCTATTAAAAATTTACGGAGCAGTGCGGAATATTAAATGAAACAAATATTGAAATTCGCCGGCGAACAATAGAGATAAACAAAAAAGACGACCGAAAGACAGGAACCGCCTGCAAGTGAATGAAGTTGAGAAGTTAGAGATGCACAAACTTGTCATCTTTAATCCGCATTGGAGTAATCAAAAGCATTCCGTGACATTTCACTCCGGGGATCCACCTGAATTTCCCACTCGAAGGGGAATCGAATCGAGGCCGACTAAAGTTTATTTGTTTGAAATCCTCCCACAAATCCTTGTCTCAATACTAGATCCCCAGTTCTGTATTTTTAACAGTTTCGCACACTACTACCAACTACTAGTAGCAAAACATGACCCAACTTCTTAATTGAGCGCGCACAATCTTCGCCTTGAATAAATCAATCATAAGTTTTAATCTCAATTTGCGGAAACACCGGAACCGAGCACTTCTTCTCCAACAAGGCACTCGCTCGGAAATTAATGTCGCAAATTTCCAAAATAAACGAAATCGACCCCTTTATTATTAGAATTACGAAATGACGGTGCGTCTGCTTGTTAGTATGCAAAATTACCGAAACTGCAAGTGACAAGTTTTCTGTTGAAATAATTGCACAAATTACTACAACAACGGCATTAGATTAATTAGTTCATAATTACTCCGCGCTAACCTTTCCAACTAAACCGTCCAATTTTCTTCGTTACAGAAAAACAAAAACAAAAAAAAGTCAGGTCATGCTGGGTCGCGTCAGGTCACGGTAAGTTCTTCATCGCAAACAACCGCTCGAAATCTAAACTTACATAAAACTCAATGTCCGAAATGCATGAAATTAATAAGCGCATTGGATTAGCACCGCTACTTTAGTCCGGCGGCTTTCGAATAAAGTGTTGCCGTTATTGTTATCGAAAACGGTCCCGCGTAGGTGACACCCGCGACAGACGAACTCGTTTGCAAAAAAAAAAGTCGAGGCGAAGTCGTGCAAAACGGCTATCGGCCGCAAATAAAAATCCGCGATGGCTCCGCGCTCGTTGAAACTTTTACTTTTAGTCGGCCACCTGCGCGAGGTTTTAATTCCCCGGAGTGCAAATTTTTCGCTAAAAAACTTTGGCGCGACTTACCTTGAGGATGATAAAATCCATGTAGTATGGGTTGTCGGCTGCGAGCACAAGTCGATCACATCGGAGCGACAGCAAGCACCAAAACAGCGTGCGGACGTGTACTGGCGGCGTCCGAGAAAAGTGAGCGCATTGCGAGCACGACCGTCTGCAGCCGCCCAAGCTGAGGCACGATTCCGACTGAGTTGTGTGCTGTGGTTGCGACTCCGTGCTGTACTTGTGCTGCAGTCTGCACCCCAGCGCCCCGCGCCCCCCAGCTCTTCATCAGGAATACGCGTTCATTATCTTATATTGTTGATATGGCAAGGTTCAGGGGCTGCCCGGTCGCATTCCGGATGCCGCGACACGTTTAATTCAATTATGAGGACTCTTTCGGATTCGAGCCGCGGCCCGGACCTCCGAAGCAATTAACGAACACAATGGGTGACCACCAATCAACATATCAACACACCCAATTTCGAACGTTCGACACCGGGACCACCGGCGCAAGGCGGACAACAATAACTCAGACCCTTCACTTCCGAAAGCACACACACCAAATCAACGCCCAAAACAACCAAAACGAGGACGCGACACGGACAAAACACCAAAAACCAAAATAACGACGCGAAAATAACGCGGCCGATCGAGCGCGATCGATGGAAGAAAGTGACGTTACGTTTAAATGACGTGTCAATTAACGGTAGCAAATCATTAACAACAATAAGAATCTTTCGCACGTAATATATCTTCTGGGAACTATTGTTAAAAACAAAAACTTAAAAAGGAAAGTTCTCGGAATGGTATCTCAATAGAACCGACTCAGCTGTTCCGAGTTTTATCTATGCGAGTGGCTGCATTCACGGTAGTTTACAAAGAAAATTTCACAGACGATTTAGGTTTAATGATTTCTCGTAACGCAATTTTTTTTAGCTGCAATTATAATATGATCCGCTGAATCTGCGGACGGATTTTTTAGGCGTCTAATATGCTCGTGTAAGTAGCATATGGCAGACCCTCCGCTGTCCGCCTTTTCGGCGTAAATTTAATCTTTTTGTTATCGGGCTCCGAAGGTTGCAATTGCAGGACCTCCCAAAGCAGATTACCGTTTAGAGCACGGCGGTGTGAGCCATATAGCATTATGACCCGGCCTTTTTTAGTCAAAGTGGCGAAATACCCGTGAGAATACACAGATCATTAAAAGCTTTGAAAACGTTGGCGATAAACTAGTAAATTGTTCGGAACGAAGTAGGTCAAAGAAGGTTACCAAAATTTCTTCTCCGAAAAGTCACTTAACTAGCCCGAACATGTTAAGACTACCGGACCGGTGGCGATAGGTAATCAATAAGTCAACTGCGGTGCTTATCAACACGGGTAATTCAATTATCACCTATTTGTTATTCTTCACAGATGCTAACGCGCACTTAGTATGTCTCTGTAAATAAAACATTTACATTTAGAAATTATTACCACAATGGAAATAGCAATAAACTTTGACAGCTTGACGTATGCTACATGTATAATTCAAAAGACAATACAACTCTTTTATAGATTCCACCGTTTTTCTGAATCACAACTTTATCTTATATCCCATCTTCATCATTGCCAGCCGCGATTTATTCTATGTCGATGGTCGTCTGACAGCTGGAACGAGGGTTGGAAATTTTACACCCACACCAATTTGCAACCGTTCCACGAACATAAGGCCACTCAAGTACACGCGTACATCAAACACAACCTCATTATCGAAAAATATATACTGGCCCTCCCCCAGACTGACTGATAGCGCCTAAACGCGGAATCGGAGATCCACATATCGCCTAAATTTAACCTCACCTATAATGGTGTACAAATTGTGCCCATTTCCTATAGCTGCCTGTCTTTATTAAGTTAGCGACAATACAGGCTGTGGGATGGGCCGGAGTTCCTAACTTCGTTAATGTTAATAATGTCATAAAACTTATTATTGTATGTTACGACCAATTCGGAGATTATGTTTATTTATCCCTGCTAGACAGGCCTCGAAAATGTACGCACCAGACATGACAGACGAACTAGTCGCTTCACCATCACGAAAAAATCAAACTCCTCTCTATCGATCTATCAAACTTAATTAAGTCCAGCTTCAAAGTCTAACTTAGCCTAACACGTCTAACTGTCTGTAACTAATTTTCAATCGCGTTAATGCAACCCTTTGGATGCAGATAGACGAGAAGTTTGTTAACTAAAAACCGATTTATATTTTACCGTTTTCGTGCCATCTCTACCGACCCGTTTTTATGGCAATTAAACATTTTTCGAGCGGAGCTGGAAAATAAAATAACGTTACGTTACGATCGAATTAATCACGAAGATTCCTATAAATACGAGAAAACGCACTGGTGTGTGTCGTTTTTCAACACACAAACACGATACTTCTTGTCATTCTCAGCAATTTCTTTCAACACCTCTTTTGTGTCGGACGTGTACACGTGGTTTTCGAATTTTTCTCTCGTCGTCTGACAATTGTTCGCCATTGTTTTTTCCGTACGTCCAATAAACACGAACCGACACCCCAAGAAAAACACGAGATAAATTAATATCGCGGAAAATTTTCTCGCGTCTATGACAGTACACTTGGTGCCGCGACCGGGATTCGGACATCGTGTCTTGAATTCGGGGGTAGCGATAACAAAAACAATTTAACGATTTTATTCAAAAGCGCTTTCCATCCGGCAGTCGCTTGTCCTGGCATTTCGAGTTCATGAACGTGTCATATATTTCGGATATCAATCAATACATCACATTATTACGTACATATGTTGTGGCATCGACCACCGGAGTCGAGTTCGGAGCACCGAAGAATACTGACATTTTTTCGTATTGGAACTTTGCACTCAAAATATTAATCCTTTAAGCTTTTTAGTGCGATGGCTAAACCTTTTTATGCGTTTTAATATTTACGAGTGCTAATAACGACATGCAGATCAGGAAGGGAGGATTAGGACGGGTAGGAAAAAATTAATAATGGATGATAATCATATCGGGGTCCCCTGTCGTGTGTGCCGTGCAATTTGAATTCGGTGTAGTTTATAAATCAAGCGTGATTATTAAACAACAATAATTGTACGCAGTTTGTTAATAAAGGGATGACTTTTGAAGGGCTTATTATGATTTCCATTCGCAAATTGAAACAAAATTTGTTTACGTGGAAACGCTTTAAACCGTATGGGCGTCAATTACGGGTTAATGAAATAACTTTAATAATAAAAATGCGAAAATTTTCGTAACCATGATCATTCAAATTTGACGTTAATTAAACTACGGTCACGTCAAGAACGGCAAAATATTGGGTAAATTATTCATATAATAAATCACTTCTACTTCTAGAGGATCGCGTCGTTTTTAATCCATTTCCGTTCCAGAAGCTCAAACCGAAATTTGGTGGTCACGCACGGAATCTATTGTAGTTCGAACATGAAACTAGTATCAACGTTAATTCTTGAATTTAGAAGAAAACAAAATGGTTTATGATTCAACCGCCGAAAGCTCTATCCAGAAATTAGTTTTTCCGAGCTGTTTCCTCTAACGAACGGAAGACTTTAATCATAGTTTTACGATCAGCGGGATAGTTTATAGATGTTTTGCTAACTTGAGAGACATTTTATTGAAGAACGTCCCATTTTACGAAACACTTATTATCACCACATTAAGTTAAATAAATCGCGAATTATCGGTGATCGTAAAGACGCAGCTGCCACTGCATGCACACTCACTCACTCTCTATCACGATGAAGAGCAAAGTGCAATTATTTTATTAAAATAAAACCTAAAGACCCTTATCAAGTTTAAATTGAAAGTTTACAGCTGCGATAATAATAAAAGTTCCGACTTCCATAATTAGTTCTTCTTGTTCTTGATTGCGCCGTCAAATGTTCCACCATGACTGTACACCTGAACTAAACCCCCCACTATATTAATTTAAGATATCACGCCTGAAAGACCTAATGGGTGTACACGGTCGTATGTCACTACGTCTTCGGATAAAATCATTATTAGAATCCCATTAGCATCAAAAACCGACGTACAACTTTATTACCCTGAAATGTCTTCGCTACGTCACAATAGACCATTTCTTCCCATTCCCGGAGGAATAACTTTGTGTTAAGTCGTCCTTCTCGGCGAACGACAGCGAAAGTATTTACGATTGCATAATAAAGTAATAAACAAAATCTCCTACAATTCAACAAACAAGACCGCGTTGACCTGCACACTGTCTGTACAGCTCCGCATTATCCGCGCTATCGTAGTCCCCGAAGTAGTGGCCTTGGAAGTTACATTACACAAATATAACACTTGCAATTTGACATAAACATAAACAGCGGGAGCTAAGTGTATAAGGAGTATAAAAATGTTATATTGCAGAGATATTGCGTCGTTCCGTCGACGATGTACCAACAAGTTGAGCGATTTAGAAGGCTGCAGGGGAGCGTTTCCGTTGTCACCTGAAGCACATATAAACGCAAATCCTCATCCTTTTATGGCGAAATGTCGTGTGTGTAAATATTGTAAGATGCGGAGGGTAATTTTGGGCGTGCCACTGGCAGCAAGTTAATTTTGACGGTTGTAATTCGCAGCTCCGGCTTGTGGTACACGTTTCCAGGTGATACTCGGCTGGTCCTCAAAACAATAGTAATAACACTATAGCTTTCTGTACGGTTCAAGTCAGCCACGCCACACGAGTATTCCGTCTGAATCTGCGTAAAGTACAAGTCGACCCGACGTAACAGCGGTTCAGATAGTCCATTGGACACGGCTGTCAGAGCGAACTAAACCATTCGGCCCACAGTCCCTGTTAGCTAATGATTTATGAAGACCGGGCATGTAACGAGACTGTGGATTTATTAACACCATTCTCCGTAATCACGTGGTTCAGGTATTTAATCATTTATTAATCGAGGCGAGTACTTAAAATACTGCCGCTTTCTGCAAGCGAATTAAAAATTCCACTAGAATAGTTTATTAGCCCGCATTTTCTACAATACGCGTTAATTACCATGCGAGACATTCGTTCCGTGCCTACAACTCCCCGGGAAAATTTTCGCGTTTTCCTTTCACCGAACTAAATGGGTCATGAAATTTAAGCAAACAACCATTTTTGTATGGCAATTTCAGTCGAGTGTGCAACGCGATATTCTTTGCTTCAACGGTCCTCTTCTACGCACACCAATATTGTTTAATTAACTCATTAAAACGAATTAACACGACGGCATAGAATTTCAGATCCTAGCGACGCAACGGCACGCATAAGACGTTAGCTTTTGACGTTTTTCATTACTGGCAGAGAAGTGCATCGGATTTGGCGCTTGGGTTAATTTAACGCGCCGAGATAAATCATCCGCGCATTTACATTACTTTCCTTGAGTAACAAAAATGGACGCCGGACGACTTAATTTATCGCTATATAGCGATGCAATTTATTGGGTATTAAACTTAGGCCCATAGATCACAGGGCCGACCACAATGAAGCGCTTGACCGAGATTATTTGAAATTCTCTCTTCGCATTTATTCTTGGTGTTTTATATCTTTACGCCTTTGACGCACCGAGGTCTTGAGTAAATGGTAATAACAGTAACTGTTTGCGGTGCTTAGATATGCCCTTTGTCCAAGCTCTCGCTTTGTTGACATATCCTGCTTCTATAAAAAAAAACCCTTCTAGCATAGCCGCGACAGGCCAGAGCGTCTTGTTCCAACAAGACTCGTTAGATCTGGAACAAAACTCCCCGTCGTGCATAAGTTCGTAATTAATGCCCGAGTATCGATTTTCGATATGTTTGCTCGACGCCAAAAGCGCAAAGTGACGTTTGATCCAGGAGCCGTACGTTTTCGGAACGATTTTAATTGCACTTGTTGCACGTGAAACGGCCTCAAGATCGTCGCATGTTGCGAACTTGTTAGCATATTTCTAATCAGAAGGCATAAGAGCGAAACCTTATAAGAGATATGAAGCGTTCGCGTATCCGGTGAACAACAAGGGATGAATGTCTATTTGCATACGAAGTCTGGCACACAAGTGCGCCACCGAAAGCTCCGAACTGACACCTCGGGCCAGAAGACCCACTTATTAGCATGTTGCCAGCTACCGGTATCGCTTACCGATTCCCTGAAGCAGTTGCCGACACAGACGTCCATTTTAGTTGGAAATTGATGAAATTTTAAAACCGCGCTACCTGCTCTGACGACGATTCTTCAAAAGGCACATACCACCCTTCTTTCATCTACTCACAAATTTCATTACGCCTAAACGATTTTATTTGCTTTTTATGTAC